TTCTGTATGTGCCCAAATTCAAACACTATAAAATTTTAGGGACTGCTTTTTAATATTTTCCCCCTCTATTTAACCCAATTAGCCAAACTTTCTTGATGACAAAAAAAATTAACTATCATTTTTTAAAATATTCCCCCCCAAAAATTAGTGATATTTCCCAAATGAAAAAACACTTATATTTCACCAAAAGAGAATTTGATAGCACTATTGATAGCTAATTACCTCATTGGATAGTCAAAAAGGAAATACAATCCAATATACACTGGAATGAAGCAAATAATATTTCTTTTCACAATATCATTTAGCAATTTAGATAAGATAGATTTAAATCTTAGCTTAAGACACAGATGAGTGTTAAAATATACTAAAAACTTAGAAATCCAAACAGATTTTACTCTTTAAGCAGCATTTTTATAAAGTTTTCCTACTTTCTGTTGAAAAAAATGTATTTGTCATGGAGGGATGTTCTGTTTTGTATTAGGACAAGATTGATAGCTTTTTTATTCAAGATTAAATTAAATTTCAATTAAAATTTTAGATATTGAAAATGTATGGCAAATTAGATGACCATTCACATGTAATAACTGAACTATCATTAAGATAAGCAAATCTTTACAAAGTCCTGTACCCTAAGTTTCCATACATCAATGTCAGGAACACATTTAAATCATCACAATAAGACTGGAAATAATATTGTTTTTAAAAGTCTCTCAAGTGAGGTGAGCAGAAATAAATGAGCTCAAGAGTAGTTAATACAATTTCATTTATTCATTCATTCATTCATTAAGTAAACACTTCCTAAGTAAACCTCCTAGGTGCAAGGCACTGTTTGCTAATCTTTAAAGCACAGGGTAACTTACTCCTAGGTGTGTTTTTTCCTCCTCTTCTATAAACCTGAAAACAAAACATAAATCGAGGAAATCAAGGATCCATTTACATAGAATTCAGGTGATGTTATTGAACTCTAGGACAAATCATCCTAATCATCTACAAACTATTATATAAAGAAGTACCTACCTTTTATCTTCAAATAAAGAATTATGGTACAACATAAAGGACGTTTTCTTCTTAATTGCAACTGGTGTTGAGTATGCTCTGGTATCGTGGCTCTAAACACCAGTAAATAGAGCGAGTTTTGCATAACACTATTTTTCTTCATAGGACTTACTTCATGTAAAGTATAGTAGTGCAGAGGTTGCAGGCATTGTTTATATTTTGAGCCAGATAATTATTTGTTGTGAAGGGCTGTCCTGTGCATTGGAGAATATTTAGCAGCACATGTGGCCACTACCTACTAGGTGCCAATAGTACCCCACCCCGAGCTGTGACCAAACATGTCTCCAGAACACCTCAAAGAGAGATAGTTATTGTAGACAGCCGAGAATGCCAAGTAAAATAAAGATTTCTCTTTCATAATTGTAGACTCCTGCTTTAGCATATGCTCAGGTACATCAACCTCTTAATGCTACTGGTCTACCATGATTTTAAACTCAAATGTCTTCTAGTCTTAAATTTAAACTGTGGTAAGGGAAGAGAAGTAGTCCTACTAAAATAGTTCACCAAGAACAAAAAGGAAATAATCCTGCCTAATATTCCCTACATCTTCCACTTAAAAGAACACCAAGGTCATTTTTTTGTTAATTACTTTAACATAACCCCAGAAGTCCTGACAAATATTTGAGTATCTATTATGTGCCAGACATAGTGCTAGGTGCTAGAAAAAGATACAATCATCAACTGCATTTACTGAATTGATAAATCAGTCTCATAAACAGCATTTTCTTCATGATCTTTGATTTAGCAAAGGACTCCTCAAAATGACACAAAAAGCACAAACAGCAAAAAAAAACAAAAACAAGTAAATTGGATTTTATCAAAATTTAAAGAAACTTTTGTACATCACAGGACACCATCAAGAAAATGACACGATAACTCAAGAATAGGATAAAATATTTGCAAATGATATATCTGATAAGAGACTTGAATCAAGAATATATAAAGGACATTTACAACTCAATAAAAATGATCAACCCAAATAAAACAATGGGCAAAGAATATGAATAGACATTTTTCAAGGAAGATATTCAAATAACCAATAAGTACATAAAAAGATACTTGACATAATTACTCATCAGGAAAATTCAAATGAAAACCACAATGAGATACGCACTAGGGTGGCTAGAATCGAAAAGTTGGATAATAGCAAATGTTGGCAAGGATATGGAGAAATCAGATCCCTCATACACTGGTTGAAGGAATGTAAAATGGTGCAGTCACTTTGGAAAACAGTCTGTCAGTTCTTCAAATGATTAAACATCGAGTTACCATATGATCCAGCAATTCCAAAGATAATTGAAAACATGTGTTCATACAAAAATTTGTTTGTGAATGTTTATGGCACCATTATTCATAATAGCCAAAAGATAGAAACAACCCAAATGTCCATCAATAGAAACTGGATTAACAAAATATTATACAATCATGCAATGGAGTATTATCTGGCCATTAAAAAAAAATGGACATCGATGAATCTTAAAAACATTATTCTAAATGAAAGAAGCCACTCACAAAGACCACATATTATATAATTTCATTTATATGAAATGAGCAAAAAAGGAAAATCTATATACAAAGAGAGTAAATTAGTGATTGCTTAGGCCAAGGAGGGGTGAGAATTGGGGGGAATTAAGGGATGATAGCTCAAGGGTATGGGGTTTCTTTTTCACGTAATGTAACTCCTAAAATTGACTGGGGTTGCACATGTATGTGAATATACTAATAACCACTGAATTGTACACTTTAAAAAGGTGAATTATATCTTTATAGAGCTGTTACAAATAGCATGTAAGATACAATAGAAAACACAGCATTTGGACCACGGTTTATTAATGAAAATGTCTTATTTAAAATACCCTTGCATCTGGAAATATCTCATTCTTTTGGCTGTGAAATAGGAAATGATTACTGAATGGTATTTAAACTATTGAAAAGGTTCCAGATAAACATTTCATTTAAGACTATAAAAATATTAACAGTAGGAAAAAATTAAAATGCAGGCACCAAGGAACATAAAAAGCCATGCTTAAGACATATTAGGGGCATTAAGATTCACAGGAGGGGTTTAGGAAGGTAAGAAGAGTTAAAGAGCTCACACTCTTTTGTATATACTGTAAACCCATATGATTAACTCCAGTAACAAATAGGAAGTCAAGTAAATACTAAAGGGCAAACACAAAGAGATTTAAGGAAAGAAAAAAGGTAAACCAGTACCCAGGAATAGCTTTTAGGAAGGTTCATCAAGCAGCATGCATTATTGCTTTTTCCAAACAGAACATAAGATGATCTGTGCATAACTCACAATTCCACTACTGAACATTTTCAATCTGTGTCGTTTTCAATACAAATAAAGTGTGTTTCAGTTTGCCTTGTGCAATACGCCAGTTAATCTATTCTATCTCATTTCGGAGCTCTTGATATGCCTGGTCCCCAGGGTACACAGTTTACCCGACCTGAAGAATCACCAATGCCAGTGACAAGGGGGTGGGGGGAACATTAGGGTATTTTTTGTTTGTTTATTTTGTTTTGTTTTGTTTTGTTTTAATCCTTATTAAATTTCAGCTCCTTCCTTGGACATTACAAACAGCCTGGTTCACCATCAAGCAGAGTCTGGTACCTCATAGAGCAGGGTGCCCAGTTTTAAACCAAAATTAGGGGGGGGGGGGCGCCGGGAGGTAGCTGTGGCAAGGAGAAAAACAACCAAAGGCAGGACTGGCTTTTTCTACAGAGCCTCGGGTTTCAAAATGACTGCCTTGGAAGCTGAAATGACCCAGATTATTGAAGAAGGGGAGGGGGTTGGCGGGGAATGGTGGACATTCATTCTCCAGCAGAATGGCTGTGGTTTGGTGTGGGAATGGAGAATTTCAGGAAGGGGGGGGGGGGCTATACATGGAAACAGAAATAACAGGAAATGTTCTTTAGGTACCACCCACCCCTCCATCCAAGTGAATCACTGCAGTGTCGGCCCAGCATTGATTCCATGAAATAGGATGAGGTAAGGCACAGCCTTGAGCCCGCCCCCCACCTCCTCCCCTCGCCCCCCACCAGCACTCAGCAGCCCGCATCTCAAGGTGAGGTGCACCACACAACTCCTGAGACCTCGGCTGAAGGGCTGACGTCACCCTTCTGCATTGAGCTTCAGGGACCCGAAGCAGCACTATTGAGATCCTGTCACCAAGTGGCGGAGATCCTCCCCCAGGGCTCTGCGGAGGAGCTCACGCAATGATAGACAAGATGAAAAGCGTGAGGGTGAAGGGGAGTGGGGAAAGGGTCATAAGACCCATTTTCTGGGTCGCCAAAAAAGCTCAAAGATGCCCGCTGGTTTACGTAAGAGACTCTCCCTTCTTGCGTCTTCCCTCAGCGGTGGCTGCATTGACGGCGGCGCCTGCCCCCGACCCCCTCCATCAGTGCGCTTGGGGGCCTCTGGTTACCCTTGCCCTGCCAGAGAGACACAGAACTCCTGGCGCTTCCCTCTTGCAATCCCGGGGGGTCAGCAGTAACCAGGAATCTGGGATCAAACCCTGCTCTCCCACGCCTGCTCCCAGCTGGCCACAGGTTAGCTCCGATTGACACCGCAAACAAGCTGGTAAGGGAGGTTAGGAGGGGTGTCCAGAGAGGAAAATAGACTAATAAACCCGCAACTTTCCCCAGAGGCTGACCCTATCCAGAGAGCTTAAAAAATAAATCAATGCATTAAATTTTTTTGGGAAAGGTCGACAACCTGACGTTATCACCACCAAGCAGACCCTTGCAGCCTACACCGGGCAGGGTCCAGGGTCCAGGGTCCAGGATCTGAGCAGCCACAACGCACCCCGCCATCCTGCAGCCCTGGCCCAGCACCCTGCTGGGGGTCCAGATTTGATTTTGGATTTGGGTTTTTTCCTCCCCCTTCCTTCCCCGGAGCATCACTGCAGCCAGCCTACAGAGCCGGCACGGTCACTCACCCAAAAGACGAAGGAGTAGATGATAAGGAGGGTTTTGAGACAGGTTATCACAGGTTTGGTCTCCATTCTCCTCGATGCCATACTACAGAGCTCCGGCGGCGGCGGCGGCGGCAGGCTGCGGGCGGGCGCTTGGGAGGGGGGAGGAGGCGGGGCAGGGCGGGGCGGGGGCGCGTGCCACCGGAGGCCTCGTGCACGCGCGCGCGAAGGCGAGGCTGTGAGCGAGCGTGAGCGCGCACTTCTCGGGGCACCCAATGGAGGAGCGGGGCCTGGCAGTGACTGCGCATGTTGAGAAGGCTGCCTGCCAGGGCCAGGCCGCGCAGGCTCAGACCCCCAGCCAAGCAGCCGCACCAGACAGCTGGGAGTGAGAGCCTGGAGTCCTGGTCGTTGGTCAAGACTGTCTTACAGGCCCCTGTGGCACATTTACTTTGCACATAGTAGGACTTTGCATATGCCGGCTTTTTGCACCTGGCTACAAGCCTATTATTGGTATCCCCAAAAAGCAATTCTGTTTCTGCATTTGGACGCCCCACCAGGCCCTTCTCAGTTGGAAGTGGCCCAGTAGTCGTGTCCTTGGAACAAGCAGGCCTTGTTTGTGCCAGGAACAGACTGTGACAGGTGGTTGGAGATACAGCTGGAGGGATAATCAGGAATCCGGGAGCTCAGACAGACACCCCAAATCCTCGCGACCATTTTTTTTATTTCCTCACATTTTGAAATGATGAAACTGAGTGATAAAAAGTTCTTTATGAAGGTACCATTCTTCCTGCACATAAAATGTTTAACAGATAAAAAAAAAAATGTTTAAAGTGCCCAAGAATCATTTTCCCCATCCTAACAAGTACAGACCAGGAAAGAGAGCTGTATCAAGGTCAAAAAAATAATGCTCAAAAACAATTAGGAAGGTTCTCAAAAAGCTAAACATAGAGTTACCATATCACCCAGCAATTCCACTCCTAGATATACACCCAAAAGAAATGAAAACATCTTCACACAAAAACTTGTATGTGAATCTTCATAGCAGTACCATTTATCATAGCCAAAAAGCAGTATAACCCCAAAGTCCATCAATTATGAATGGATAAACATAATGTAGTGCATACATACAGTGGAAAATTATTTGGCCACAAAAAGGAATGAAGTACTTATACGACATGTATGAACCTTGAAAATATGATAAGTAAGAGCAGCTAGAGGAGACACAAAAGAACACATAGTAAATGATCCATTTATAGGCAACCTACACAATAGACAGATCCACAGAGACAGAAATAGGTTAGTGATGGCATGGGGGCACCAGGAATAAGCAGTGACTGTTAATGAATAGGGGCTTTCTTTGTGGAGTGTTCTGGAATTAGTGGTGATGGTTGCACATATGTGTGAATATACTAAAAATCACTGAATTGTACACATTAAAAGAGTGGCTTTTATGGCATATGAATTATATAAAAATAATAACATACACTGCACCCGGATTTCCTGTGGCTCCTTTGTTGAGGAACACACAGTACAGATTCTGTGGGAGACTGAGCTTGATTTCTGAGCAACTCTGCAGCCAAAGTAGCAACACTATCACAAGCTAACTCAATCATGGGTGATGTTAAGGATATTTCTTGTGAAAGAATAAAAACAGTCAATAAAGCTTGAGGAAAGCCTGCCAAGGTCAGTTGTTGCAAGAGTAATTATTGCCTTCAATGAGTTGTACATGGTCCCAGGTGAGTGAGGTCATTGTATAAACAGGGCACAAATATGAGGAAGAGGAGAACCTGCCTAAGGAAATGATCAACTATTACAAAAGGTTATATGGGTTTAGAGTGTTGTAGGGAAGAATATGGGTGCTGGTTAAGAAAAGATTAGGAAAAGATTGTCAGGGTTTCTGTTATAAAGACCTTGCATAATGATTCCCAATTCTGGTTGCTCATTTGCTTCAGCCGGAGAGGCTTAAAAAACAAACAAAAAACTATGACTGCCTGTGTCCAATCCCAGGTAGCCTGAGTCATTTGGTGTGGGGTACAGGCTCAACGGTTTTTAAAGTTCTTAAGCTGGTCCTAATAGGAATCAAGTTGAGGGAAACTCCCAATTGCAATGAGCTTAAACCCAAGGTCAGAAAGGAGTTTCTCATCCACCTTTACAGTTTTCAGGCAGCAGCAGAAAAAGGACACTGAAGACTAAAAACTCATTGGATACCCTTAGCTTCAAAAAGTCTTGCCCATACTAGGCTAATTTTAGCTTAGCCGTCAACATAATTTGTTCCCTCGGTAATAAGAGAAATATAAATACAGTGGGGCCTTGACTTACTAGTTTAATTCATTCCGAGACCGAGCTCATTAAGGAGCTCGTTAACTCAAATTACTTTATCAACTCAATGCAAAAAATCGGCCGAGAGACAGCTGGTATCTCAAAAAACTCGTTAGTCAGGACACTTGTAAGTCAAGGCCCCACTGTACAGTAAGTTTAAATGATTGAATTGGTGCTTGAAGTTTATTGGCTTAGTTGTATTTTTTACACAGATTAATTATATTGAGGGATAAGATACTCAGCAAATTGCAAATTCTTTTTTACAGAAGTGTGAATAACAGTCATAGTAATTCTTTTTTATAAATTGCATACTTCACGTACTTGCTATATATGGTCATTTTTCTCTGGTGGAAGTTGCTATAAGCCCTGCAATTCTAATGTGGTTATCCTCTGCTAGTTTAGGCAATGCATGTATTATTATGCATTGGATAGTAGTTTTTGTTTTAAGTTTTGTCAGATGACTCTGTTTTTCTTAAGTATGTGTTTCCCTACTTTAAAAATGATTACTGACAAATATGCATTTCCTATATGTTTGTTTATACTTGGATTATAAAAAAACCTTTGTTTTATTTTTTTAACTTGCTGCATTGTTTTGATATCTTTTTTGTTAGATTATGTTTAGAAATTTTGCATGAGTTCAAAAGTCTTAAATATGAAAGTGTCTATGTTCCAAAGTGCATCCGAACTGTCATTCCCTTCTAGTATCTTCTCAGGAGTAAGACAAATCAGGTATTTCATCATCATTTGGTAATATACAAACTCCAGTGAACTTCCAAGGACACTCACAACATGTATATTCACGTGCTGTATGTAAAGTGTGGGTATGTGTGAAGTGGTGAGTGTAGACACTTACTCTGTGTTTGTGTGTATCTCTACATAATCAGATATATACCACATTGAAAATATTCAATGTATATCTCTAGCTGTACAGATATATGTTCGTGTGTATCTCTTTCCTTTTGTTTACAACTGTTCAAAAAAACCTCAAAGTAGCTCTCTTCAACAGAAGAGATGTAGATTCCAAGCAACCCATCTTTTTTTCAGTGTTTCTGTACATAATTATCAGAGAGCATCAGTATCAGGCATATATAAGGCATATATATTTGCCTATTAGCAGTGGTGACTAAATTTTCAGGTCAGCATGTGCTATTCCCTACAAGAAAAATACTATGAGATGAACAAGTAGAAAGGCATTTCTTCAAGCTCTCAATGATAACCAGGGAATTTATGTGCGGACATCAATCACCTTTGGGGTTGCTGTGTACAATGAGATTTATAATTCTGATACTCTTGGGTGGTAGTTTTAAGACACTACTAATATGCAGAAAGCATTTAGCTCTTGCTGGCAAGTACTGTTTAACTGTCAATCAAATATGTTATAATGGTTGAAAGTGGTGGGATTATGAAATTGTAGATGTTTTTAGAAAAACTTGTGAATGAAAATGAATCCAAGTGTTTCATGTGAAGATGTTGAGCCATTTCTATCATGCATTCCAGTCTCATGACAGAAAATTTTGAAGATAAAAAGAGAAAATAATCAAAATGTTAAAAAAAAAAGTCTTGCCTGAGGACAACCAAGATGGCAGCATAGGTAAACACCTGAATTTGCTGCCATGCACAACCACATTAAAACTACAACTAAAAGACAAAACAAATACCATCCAGAACCACAGGAAGTGCTGGCTGAGTGGAAATTCTACAACTAGAAGGAAAGAGAAAAGCGCATTGAGTCCAGTAGGAGGTGCAGAGGTGTGGAAGTGTGGAGGTATAGAGGCATGCGCGAAAGGGGCTGGCAGCTGGGTATGCTGTTATCTTTTTTAATCGGGAGGGAGAAACAAGCTCCCAACTGCTTTGAACTCCAGTTCCAGGTGAGAAATTGGGGACCCAGACTCATACAGAGAGAAAATGGACTGTCTGGCATCGGGCTGGAACATGAGGGCGGCTTTCTCGCAGAGGTGCTTGCAGCGTTCTTTGTTCCTGCACGGTGCCGCGGGACACAGAGACTCAGGGACCTCTCCAAGGCAGAGCAGACTGGCAGCCATTGCGGTTTGCTCCACCCTGGTGATTCCCTGAGACCCCGCCCCACCCAATTTACAACCCCACTCAAGCTGTGCACAGAGGCTTTTGCATACTAATAGCCTGGCCTTTCTCCGCCCAAAAACCTGGGCAGACTCAGTGAGCGACAAAGCCCCACTGAAGCAAGTCCTGCCCCATAAGTGTGTCTCCAGCACAGAAGTTCTCTCATTGTGCCGGGAGCCGGTCCATCCTTGCTGTTTCAAAGGACCTGGCATATATGGCATACTGTTCTTAAAATGTTTGCTCACCTTCTTGGCTCTATGTGTTTTAACCAAGGTCTCCTCTCTGAGAAAGGTTGTTTCCCCAGGTAGGGATTTTCCCCTGAAGTTAGGGAGGGAATAAAACCCCTCAACTAAGTGCCAGGCGGGTAATTAATCACTTTAACTACGAACAATCATGCTTAAGCTACATAATCTTTACTCCCTGGAATGGAGATAAGAAACGCCCTAACCTTTGTAATAGAAATTGACAGGATTAAAATCAACTGGTATAAATACAGATGTAACAAGACAATAAACAGCAGAAACTCTCTGGAGATCCAGACCAGAACTTGGCTGGAGATCCTGGCTGGAGATCCTGGCTAGGCTGCTGATCAACTGAACGCTGTCTCCGTGTCATTCCTTCTTCGCCGACTCCGTCCACACCTTTGGGGACCCCTGGACCCGCTGGGGTTGGACCCCGGCATCTGGCGCCCGAACAGGTAATAGAGATTGATAGGATTGAATCAACTGGTATAAATACAGATGTAAGAAGACAGAACTTAGAAGACAGA